ATAATTAGATATTTCCATGACCTGAGAAAATGGTAAGCTTTTCACTTTCAATTTAGACTTATAATTTAACTGTAAATGACATAAATGAATACCGAGTTATCCTAAATGAAATACTTTCTCATTCTGTACACAAGAAATAATGGTAATCTGAATATTACAAAGGAATTTCAAGTACATTTTTACTCTTAATTTAATTTGTATATAATTATGTCTAAATTAATAGTCTGTTTTTAAAACATACATTTTAACTGTAAGAAGTCAGTTAGAAAGGACACAACGATATCTTATCAACAGAGACATTTTGGTCTGTTACGATATGAAGATATTTCTAGTCACATGCTAATGACAGGTGAATAATCACTGACGATCGGGAAGAACTTGATTGCTATTTTATACTAACTTCAGGCCCCTTAGTAGTATACATCACTGATCCTAAAAGATGTTATAACCACGACCTTCAGGTTTTGTGATAATCATTGAGTTGAAATAAAAAGGTTTTTTCTCCAAACTTCAATCAGCCTGTGATAAATAGAATCCAGCTATTTCCATAATGAATCACTTTTAACCAGTGGCAGTTTAAATATGTCACTCTGTATTGTGCATTTCGGACGCCAACTCGGTGTTCCAATGGGTAATTGTTCGCGGTTAGATTTGGTATATTTATATATAATACATATATCTCTTAATCGAAACAAATTTTCAGGGATACACTGAATAACTTGTACTTATATGTTACACATTAGTTCAAACAACATAGGATATGGTTATCGAATTTTTGTTCATCAATGCCATTTTATGGTCATTTAAATAGGGTCAGGAAATAGGAAACGTGAAATCTGTACGGAATTATTTTAAAAATTGTTTCTAGCGCGTTAAAACACTTAGAAATAGGTCTGTAGTCAGATAAACGTGTTTCTGTACAAGCTCTCTTTGAATAAAATATTGAAGAACCGATTGTAAACCATCATAAATCCATTAAATATGTAAAACATTGTACATTTACTGAGTTTCTTATATTCAGTAAGAATGTTTCTACTTTTCGGTACCAATGTTAAGGTAGGACTCGATAGTTTTAAATAAATTGAGAATTGGGTAAAAATTTAATAATAAACATATTTTTGTGATATCCGAATGAGTAGAAATTTGTGTCTGATGTTTCGTGACTTATTGTAGGTCACTTACTCTAAAGAAATGACCTACATTTAGTCAAGAAACACTAGGAACACAAATTTCTACTCATTCGGATATGAAAAAAGTGTATTTATTGTTTTTACTTCTACTTATCTGTATATTAATTGACTAAGAAGCAGTACTCCATGAAGAACCATTCACTAGTCTTTCTTAACAATGATCAGTAAATGAATTCAGTATAATCAATGTATAATATTTTATTAATTTGAAATATGGATATGATATATGAAATGGTATAAACTATGGTTATATAGTATCCAATTAGCATCATTCTTTCGGCACACTCATGGGATCAACCTTGATTAACTTATTTGTTGATTGGAAATGTTCAACTTAGTACATGTTACATAGGACCTAATTAATTGGCATTTTAAAATTATACCTTACTACTCATGTTAACTGACAAACAAGAAGCATCAAGACATTTAAGAATAAAAGTCATAGTTGTAAAGTAACAATGATTGAAATTGAATAGCTTCAACATTTCTCTCAACAGTCTTATTTATAAATGATTCACGATAGTTCTGGGTTGTTGTTTTTTTAAGTGTTTTTTTATGTCTTTCAAATACTTATCTGTTAACTGTTGTGAAACAATTTGTTCAAATTTATTTGAAGGTGTTCATGATGAACAAATAACAGTTTTTCAATTATACAGAAATCTATACCCTAGAAATTAAAGTCGGTAAACTACACAAAAGTTTGCTTGTTAGCTCTAAGGGTTACTGATATATATATATATATATATATATATATATATATCGATTGGGTGTATATTTACACTTTCTAAGCTACTTGTGAAACTAGGTCAACAACTGTTCACATACCTGAGTGACATGATTCAAATGAGTTATATAGAATAGTAAAGTCTAATGATATTCCAAGAATTCTGTACTTAATTAACTATAGTAATAATAATCAGATTAAAAGATTAATTTCTATGAATTTCTATCGACTAAACATATTGAGGCCTGATTGGACTGTGTATATTGTCGTTTATTCAATACTTTAATCAGATTACATGTAATTACCGATCTTATATTGACTCAGTTTCCTATTTCAGTTGTGTAGGAGTCTTACTAAAACCATAAACTGTCAAATCGCTTCAGTAATTTCCGACAGATTGTATTGTCATTCTTTTTCGTACGCGTAGACATTTAATAATAAAGAAGGCTTGATTTAATCCCCGTTCCGCGATGTGATCTAATATAATGATTAGGTGAAGTTTTTATGAAATACAAAACATTTTTATTCATCAGTAAACACATCCTGACATTTCGAAGATTGATGAGTTTGTTCCAATGCTAATCACATGTTGATCAATCTAATACGAAGCCTAGTAGACTGAATTGGTTGAGAGATGTGTTAAACGCCCCCAAACTCCACCCGCTCTGAATTTCAATCGTGAATATCCAACTAGTAGTCTGGAGAAAGTAAGTGGAGTCATAGCTGTACATGACATGAACCGTTATGAAGCCACTGATTGTTGGATTAAGTTGTATCTCGTTAGGGTCACTATGTAAACACTTAATGAGGAAATATGAAATTGGTTCTAGTGACACATGCATTCATTTTTTATCATTCTATAGGCCTTGAGACTTAATACTGTTGTGATTTTTATTTCATGATTTCATTCATTCTTTTCAGGCTATATTCTATTTGTCCAGCTTATTACAATGATTGATAGTATTATTGGTTTTATTCCTTAATTCTTCATCTCTTGGTATTGACATGAAGTGTAGCGATTGCGGAGGAAATAATTTTTTCTTTACCGATTCAAACTCTATTTCTTACTGACACTAACTGGCTAGGTTCAGTTAACAAGATAACGTATTCTATTATACTGCTGAAAGAAATTTAATAAGAATTTGATCGTCTGTTAATAACTATGATCGCATTTATTGTATTCACTTTATAATACGCATTTAACAATCGATGAATTGTGATCATAACCAAGTGAACTGAACTCAAATTTCCTTTGCTTTTCATATTACATAATAAAAAGTATGTCGAATATTTTATAACTGCCATTTTAAGCAATTATAATGCGGCACACCACCTGCTGTCACCACTGATTGAATGGTTTAGTGAGGTTGTTGGATTAGTGTCGTTGTAGTGGCTTTGCCGCTCGAGTGATGCTGAGAAGGTGACCTAATTTGACTATTTAGAGGAATTAAAAGCCGTAACAACCCTAGGCTTCAGCGATTATTAATTTGAATAAAGCACGCATCTGGCTTCATGCTGGATTACATTTACGCTTGCTTAATGGTATTGACCCAAGTCTTAAACGATTATTATTTTATTGACTGGGGTACCTAGCCGGTCATATACCCTGATGGTGTTCTCATGACTTCCGGGTTGCCTGATCTGCCAAGGGTGATGGGAAAATGCATGATGCCATTGTTGTGTTCTAGGTTCAAAGAGAACTGTATGCTATATGCATGAAAATCCCCCAAAAGAAAACACCTTATTAAAACTTTCATTCTTAACGTCTTTCATATTATAAACAATGTATTTATGTATTGAATGACAATTCAATTTTTAACATTATATCAATAACTGGAAGTAATTAAACTTATTAACATGTATCTAGCTGAAGAGAAAGCAACAAAATTCAATAAATTTGTCTTGCTCTATCATCAGTATTGTTTTTACTGTAAATAAAGTGTTTAATTTTTATGATGTAATATCTTATGTGACACTGTCAAATGTTTGTTATGTTATAATTTTATCAGTTTGTTTGTTTATGTAACGATAGCACTTATTATTGATTATGACTTAAATAACGGATTGATAGGGAGAAAGAAACATATAAGTTTATAGGGGGTAGCAGTTTAAAAATCCATTTGTTCATAGCTCTCTCGCACGCGCTCTATTCATCTAGAAATCAGTCAATAATGAAAATAACCATGATAAAAAGTGTAACAATAATAACAGTAAAACCAATGAAAATAGTTACAGAAACAAAGCGTCCTTAATATAAAAAAAGATTTATACAATAATATATGATCCTGTATTTAATGACAGATAAGTTGTGAACATGTCGTTATCATCAGGATGATATGAAATCATATTACATAAAATCATCAGCTACTGCTTTCAGATCTTGCAGTACGAACGCCAGAATACCTAAAATTTATTACAGAAGACATTCCGACTGGAATAGATTGTATAGACTGGCCCCCTTGTTTTTGTTAAGCTGAAGTGAATCATTTGAATTTTAAACACATCTTCTAAGTAGGCAGAGCATATGTAGACAAATATTGCCCTATAGTGTAGTGGTTTCACATCAGTCATGTGTATTCTCACATCCTTCTGTTTAGCTAAGGACTTAAGACAGCTTTCTGATTTCATCTTTGCATATCATTTACTTTCAAAATGTTACAAATCGTAAAATAGATGTAACTGTTGTTGTATAATGAAATAACTATAATTTCATAAGATTCACAAATGTTAATTCTGCGTTTGAAAAATCCACAGTTGGATTCATGAGTCGGTCCAAGCAAAATCACCATTGAAAACCTGGAAGCACTGAACAGCTGTTTCGTCCTAGTATGGGACTCCTCAGCAGTGGGAACCCTCGGTCCAGTACACGGGATATGAAAATACTTTTGAAATAAACGATGACTAACAACATTACTTCAAAAATTATTGTGTTACTAGCTAGCCTATTTTCTAATTGGTAATTGCATTGACCAATCACAGAGACAGTCAATCAAATGACATAATTTAATGTGTTTATATTATTTGTTTATTTATTTTAATTTTTTTAGGAGTGAAAGTTATTTGAACAGCTTTATTCTTACCCAAACATGACGTCTAATTGTGTACGACGAGTTCTTTTACCAATTGATGGTAGTGAACATAGTAAAAGAGCAGTGAATTGGTATTTGTCAGAATTTAGTAGACCAGATGATTTTGCCTATTTCTTTCATGTGGTTGAAGCAAATTACTCCAAGTCTACTGCAAATGAGACACATGATCATGGAAAAGAGTTAAATATTAATTTGGATAAAAATATTAAAATGTATTCAGAATTAGGTAAAATACTTGGTGACAAATTACATGATGATTTGAAAAATAGTCATATTCAAATGGAATATGTTATGCAAGTTGGAAGTAAACCAGGTGAGCTAATAATTAATGCAGCTAAAGAACGATCTGTTGATGTTATATTGATTGGAAATCGTGGTTTAGGCGCATTCAGACGTACATTTTTAGGTTCTGTTAGTGAGTATGTATTACATCATTGTAATGTACCATTTATTATTATTCCACCTTCTATTAGTTCATGAAATAATGTAAAGGTGTTTATTTGTTATTGATTGTGTTTTTTTCTCTGAATGTCTTTGAACATTATTATATAATTACATTATTACATTCCGTTGAACAATATGCATAAAAATTTGTAACTGATCATTAATGTTTTAAAAGATCAACTTTTAACCATATTTACTCGTATCTTTCTTATTGATTATTCTCATTATTCAATTCAGCGGTAAGAATTTTCTTCCAGATGATCGTGTTTACTTAAACTGTACACACATATTTATAGTTAGTTTGTTTATCTATGATAATATTAACCTACAATAGAATAGAAAGAGTATTGTATCATTAAGAAATAAAAGATATCAATAATAATCAGAATTTCTAGATTTCAATTATCAATGGTCTGTAAACAAATAAAGAGGTGTTATGTTGATTTTCAAAAACAAAAAAATAATTAAGTTACCTTCCTTTATCAGTTTAAGTTCAGTATAATGATACAGATAATGGATGATATAAATGAAGGATTATAATTGGTCGACAAAGAATTGCAAACTAACTAAATTGGATTCTTTTCTATGAAGAATAAATTATTCTTCTGAAACATATACATGGTATAATGACTTTACTGTCTTGAAAGTCTTTGGACATAAAGAGATATAAAGTGTTCTTTAAAGAAATCATATTAGTGATTAAATGCTTTCGAGGTATATTTGGAGAAGAACTAGATAAGCATTAAGTTGAGGATTGATTGAAAGTTTCTTATCTATGCGGCGTAGAATGACTTCCACCCCGTTGTTAAAATAACAATTATGACCGTTGACAAAGTTCAAAAAAGATATAAAAGCTAAAAAAACTTGGAAGTTTACGTTAATCGGCTGTGAACAAATTGACTATTAAGGGTAACTTAAATCCAGAATGATAAAATGCTTTAAACCTTTAGAAGTATCTGCGAATGTATTGATCAAAGTAGTATCCTCTCTTAGATCCCGGAAAGCAGTACAGATATCGATGTTTAACAGTCAGCAAATTCATCAACCTTATGGATGAATCTATTTTAGTAGATAGAAAGGTTTTCTAATAGTGTCGATTTTTGAAATTTGATTATTTTAGTATAAAGAGTTCAAGACTTAAATAAAGATACTAACTTCACTGATTTTAATTGAAATCATGAATCGGTTAATATTAGACCACCATTGAAAACTTGGAAACACTGAACGAACGTTTTGTCCTAGTATGGGACTTTTCAGCAGCAATCTCATGATCTCAATTATAAGTCAACAATCTCTGCAACCCTTTACTGATTTTATTGATTCTTGAGAATTTTACTGCAGATTTATTTTAGTTAGATTAATTACTTAAAAGCTTAGCTAAGATTAGTTTTAGCTTCTATAAAATAGCATTTTGATTGCGTGGCAACTAAACTAACCTATCGCGGACAGTAAGTCGACTAAATGTACACAAGTATAGCAGGAGATCAATTGATAATTTTTACTGAGCTAATAATTGACTAACTTCAACAAGTACAATGAAGAAGATTTAATCGCATTTAAGTTGAGCATAAAATCTGTTCGATTACTCTACTCTGAAATCCAAAATTCAACATCGTCTATTGACATGAATCATTAAACGTTGAAATACAATATTCATTCTTACAGCTTGATAATCATGGTAGAAAGTATACATCAGCTATTTACGTGTTCATTTCTTTTGACAGTAATATAAAAATCAGGTCATATGACAGAATCAGATTACGTCTAAACCAAAAACAAACGAGAAATAAAAGATAGAAAGAAAGAATATTGTAATAATTAGAAAACTTAACCATATTTCTACAGTCAACATACTGTTACTAACCGGGATGATGATGCCACACATATAGCTAGAGAAAAAAATTAATACAATAGGAAGCATAGGAAAGGAAAATAATCTTAACTGCATTAGTAAGTTATGCATAAAAACATGTAAAATTGAAAATAGGACTTGCTTTAACTGAAATATTTAATTAATCTTAACACAAAATCGCACACTCAAGATATTTTCGAATGTGAATTTCTTTACAAAGACATCATGCGTAACAAAATGTACAATTTTCAGTCTTTCCACTAAGTTCCTCACGATTAATATAGATATATTTAAAGCCTTGAAGCCTTTCACATAATTTAATTAAAAGGTGGTTTTCTGAGTTTATTAAAACCACACACCATAGTTGGCTATCGAAAATGACCCGTGGATTTATAAATTATCAGCACCTAAAAGCTTCATACCACATATCAACGAGTTGGACATGTAACTTCAAACTGTATGTCACTGTATGTTTGTGTGTGTGTGTGAGTATGTGACGTTTTCAAATGTTGTAAATATCCAAGTTCATTAATGAAATAGTGTAAAATAAGTTCATTAAACCACAGGTATCCAATTTAATCAATAAATTAACTCCTAATGTTCTATTAAATAAATTAGTCATCTATACAAAAATTATTTGGCTACAACCCGAAAAACCATTAGGTATATATCACTTGTATAGGGTTATATGACAAACTAAATAAAATTCAAAATATAAACCATTACATTTCAACTAAGTGATTTTAAATTATTTTCTTTACTGAAAAACCTTTTTTTAAAAGTGTTTTAATTTTGACTTTTAATTGGGCCATGAATGTAAATAACTAGGTGGTTTTATACTACTGTGAAACAATTGTTCAATACCCTTTAATTTTTAATCAAAAAATCAGTAAAAAAAAAAGTGGTCAAAAAAGTTCACCAAGGTAAAATTCGCCGTTGGATGCCGGCTCAGTGGTCTAGTTGGTTTAGCGCCTGGAGCGAGACTGATAGGTCCTGGGTTCGAATTTCACGGGGTGCGGGATCGTGGATACGCACTGCTAGGGGAGTCCCATACTAGGACGAAATGGCCGTCTATTGCTTCCAGGTTTTCCATGGTGGTCTAGCTTCAATTGACTCATGATTTCAATCAGTGAAATTTCTAAAAAAAAAATCTCCACAAAACCCCTTCTGATCAGAATGTTATAATTCATTTATTAAATGAATATGTAATTCGTTAATTCAATATTATAATTATTGACTGTTTATTATCAGAAAGAGTGTTTTGTGGAGATTGTAGTAAGTTTAACCGTTAAATTTATAAGTCAATTAAAGCTAAATCATTATGGAATACCTGAAAGTACTGGACGATCGTTTGATCCTAGTATGAAACTATTTATTAACATATAGAATAAACACATAATAGGCATTGTTTGTAAACTACATATATTAGATTATAACATACAATTTTACATAATATTTATCACATCTATAATTAAGTAAGCTGATTAGTTAACCTCATTTTAAACTTGGCTTAATAATTATCATTTGTTAGAGCAGTTATCGATTGTAGAAAGAAACCTGATAAATAATTAGTAAATAACAACAACAAATAATTCTTGTAGTCTAACATGAACTTCTGATGTCTGAGTTATTAGTTTAGGTAACAAATAATTAGACCATTAAGTCTAATCATTAGCATTATTGAATACGATATGAATCTGATCACATTTTACTATGTTACTTGTCTACTTTGAATTATATCAGTGAATAATGTAATGAGAAAAAAATGTATTCAGTAACATTTAAAGTTTATCAGTGTTTCTATGGTTTTCCTTCTAATTCAAATTATGAATTCATCATGAATTGATGAATAATAAGTAGTTGTTTTCTCTATTTATTAAGTTACCAGTTAGCTTTACATCAATATTATCAGTCTGCTATAATCAAATCATCTAACAAAGAATATATTTTCTGTTTCACCTGAGTTTGATTCAGAGAAACAGTATCAACATGGAATCAGCACATGCATTAAGATAAAATTAAACAGCTTTTTATTGTTCATTTAATTCTGAGTATATTTTATACAATACCGACTCTTCATAGACGTCACACTCATTCCACTTCAACCAACCAGTTAAGTTTTATTTTTTTAGTTATATATACAGCATACTATTCACGTAGACATAACTTAACCTGGTCGATATGAAATGTTGTTTTAGATATGAAAACTGAATGAAAATAAAGAGAATTCAGCGAAGAAAACTTTCTTTTCGACGAAATCACTTAATTAAGCTGTACATTCGTGCTTATAGTTGTATGGTAAATATATGTTAATAGAAGGATGGAAAAGACTGCATCATAAAGCGATTCGAGACTCCAATTATGGAATGAGGCTAAGCAATAATCAGGGGATTAGAGAATAATATAAGCATGAAAATAATTTACGGGTCGAAATTATAAAAGCTAATTGTTCATAAAGGTCATACTAATAACTGAACAATAAACACAGATTTCGGGCTTATGTTTTTGACTCGACCTCCCTTCGATCCAGTTTCTTTGACTGTGTAGATTATATTAAGGAAAGACTCATTCGGAGCGACGAGTCCGGAGTTGATTAGATGTTCTTGTATTGAACTGGTAACTCTTTTGCATTCTTTTAAAAGTCATGCTGGGTGGTATTCTGAGATGCGTTTAGAAAGTGACTGCTTTGTGAGGTCAATGAAACCTACTCCACAGGAGCAAGTAAATTTATAGATGCACATCGATGTGGCCCAAAGATGAATTCGATCCTTACCACATCCGTGAATGGTAGGCCGGCTTGAGAAGATTAGGCGGAGCTTAGCTGAGTAGGTTTTATTCAGGTATTTGGAAATCCGTTTATTCAAGATTTCAGCAGCCGTATCTCATTTAAATTCGATATTGCTGAAAAGAGTTTTCTTTTGAACTGTTGGTACTTTTTCAGGATGTTATTATCCTACTACAGTATAACAGTGTAACATATACCATATTGAAAATTTTTTAATGATTACAATAGTCTTATCTTGTTGTAAAGAAAGTATTTCAAATTATACATTTCGTATATATTAAATCTGTCTTAGGGGTTGAAGTATTCGTCTTTCAATCAACTGGATGGAAGTAAAAACCTTGGTTTAACTACTTCATTTG